CAGTAGGGTCATATTTATAGGGGCCCCCCGTACCCTTTCCCTTTGCCAGGGGCCCCTTATAGCTTCCCCCTTTTTGTTTGTTTTCTGTTTCTAGCCGCCGAGCAGTTAAACCCGAAGAATATAAAACTGCGGGGGCCCCCCACAGGGGCCCCCCGGCTTCACCCTGGGGGCCCCCCTCTTCACCCTGGGGGGCCCCCCACAGGGGCCCCCCCTCACCCTGGGGGCCCCTAGCTTCACCCAGGGGGGCCCCCCCCTTCTCGCCCTCAGGGGCCCCCTCAACACCCTCAGGGGCCCCCTCATCCTCGGGGGCCCCCTTGAAAAAGTCTAAGAGGGGCCCCTCATCTGTGCCTATCCAAGACATGTCATTGGGGGCCCCCCTGGGGGCCCCCCCATCATGCTTGTGTGGGGGGCCCCCCTGGGGGCCCCCCTGTTGTGCCTCGGGGGCCCCCTCGTCCTGGGTGTGTATAGGGGGAGAGGCAGCAGCAGCAATGTGCTGCAGGTAGGGGGGCCCCCAGCTGTCCTCATAAAGCCCCAAACCCTGCAGTGTATCTGCATGCGCATGCAGTGCCTCTTCTGTTAGAGAGAAGTCTGGTGATAGGGTTGAGAAGGGGCCCCCAGGGCCCCCAGGGGCCCCCTGGGGCCCCCCAGGGGGCCCAGGGGGCCCAGGGGGCCCAGTGGGCCCCCCTTCATCCTTGCTTTCTGCTGCTGTTGCTGCAGTTCCTCCTGCTGCTGCTGCTGCTCCTGCTGCTGTTGCTGCCGCTGTTGCTGCTGCTGTTGCTGCTGCTGTTGCTGCTTTTATTCTATCAGCTAAAGACAAATCCAGAAGGGCCTCAATATGCGAGAGCAGTCTGCTGCCTATGTCAGCAGCAGGGGGCCCCTGGGGGCCCCCCAGGGTGGGGGCCCCCTGGGGGCCCCCCAGGGTGGGGGCCCCCCCCCCGAACCCCTCTTCTTCAGCGAGGGGGCCCCCAGGGGCCCCACCAGGGGCCCCCGGGCCCTTGAAGCCAGGAGAGAGACTGGGGGGCCCCCATGGAGAATATATGTTTTGTATTGAGTGGGAAAGAAAAAAAATAAAAAATAAAAAACAAAATAATAATAATATACCCGCAGAGGGGGTCAAACGGACAGCCCATGGGGCCCCCATGTCTGTGCTGCTGCAAGATGCATGCCGAAACAGATACTGCTGCTGCTGCTGCTGCTGCTGCTGCTGCTGCTGCTGCTGCTGCTGCTGTTGCTGCTGCTGCTGTTGCTGCTGTTGCTGCTGTTGCTGCTGCTGCTTTTCCACCTGCTGCTAGTCCTCCTCCACCTGAACCACCTGCTTCTGTTGTTGTTGTTGTTGTTGCTGCTGCTGCTGCTGCTGCTGCTGCGCCACCTGCTGCTGTTGCTGCTGTTGCTGCTGCTGCTGCTGCTGCAGATACACCCCAGGAAACACAAAAGGAGAGAAGGGAGAGACAAAGAAACAGCAGAGGGGCCCCCAATGCTGCTGCAGGGGCCCCCCGATGCAGCAGCAACTCGCTATACGAGGGGGAGGCCCCCAGCGTTGCTGCTGCTGCTGCTGCTGCTGCTGCCGCTGCTGCTGCTGCTGCTGTTGAGGGGGCTTGCTTCCCTGCTGGAGTTAGTGCTGCTGCTGTTACTGCTGTTGCTGCTGTTGCTGCTGCTGCTGCTGCTGCTGCTGCTGCTGCTGGATGCGCTGCAGCTGCTGCAGCTGCTGCGGAGGAGGAGGGCACGGGGATCGATCCCGCCCCTGTTTGTGTTTGTTTGTGTTTATATAAAAAAATAAATATATATTTTTGTTTAATAAATATTTATTTATTTATATTTATGGAAAAAAAAGAGAAAAAGGAGAGAGAAAGATAGCAACACAACAAAGCGATGAAGAAGCCTGGGGCTTCTGCTGCTGCAGCAGAGTCAGTTGCTGCTGCTGCTGCTGCTGTTTTTGTTTTTTTTTTATTTTTTTTAATTATATTTATCCTTTTATTTATTATAAAACATATAAAGATACTTATTTATATTATATATACAACAATAAACAAAAAAAACAAACACAGAAAGAGAGAGAGCCACCCAGAAGCTCGCTGTGCTGTTCTAGGGTTTAGGGTTTAGGGTTTAGGGTTTAGGGTTTAGGGTTTAGGGTTTAGTTTGTAATTTGTATGCTTTTATTTGTTTTATTGAATATAAATATTAATTTATTTTTTTATATAAACAAATACAAATGAAGATATCCATAGAACAGCCCAGTAGGGCCCTCGATGCTGCTGCGGTGTATAGGCACCTCACCGCTGCTGCTGCTGCTGCTGCTGCTGCTGCTGCTGCTGCAGCAGCAGACAGAATAAATAATGTATTTATTTATTTATTTTTTTTTATAAACTAAGCAACACAAAACGCATGCAATCAGCAGCAGAAGAAGAGAAGGGGCTGCAGCACATCTCCTTTCCTGTGTATAGCGGGGAGGGTTCGAAGCAGTTTACTGCTGCTGCTGCTGCTGCTGCTGCTGTTGCTGCTGCTGCTGTTGCTGCTGCTGCTGCTGTTGCTGCTGC